GAATCCCTTTTCACAGTTTCTTTTGCTATACGCTTTTTTCAAGAACACCATTGCACAAATGGCATATCAGTACAAAAGTAAAAATTGACCTTTCGGTCAATAAATTTGTGTTATTGACCAAGCATGCCATCAGTATGCTGGATATTGTCCGAGTTCTTTATTTCTTTGCGTTTTAATGGACTGGGACGATGCCGAGGTCCATTAAAACGAAAAAAAAAGGAAGGAGGCTAGTGACCAGCCATTTTGATCGAACAAGCTTGGTCAATAAACGATTCTCTAAATAGCACAAGTATTTCTGAGGTGGTTAACTCTTATTTGAAATGAAATGGAGAAATCCCACTTTTTCTCAAGAATCAATGATGACTTGTTTATTTTCGAGCCCTGGAAGCCAACAGTGATGGCTGGTACTCGTTTATGTTTTCTATAAATGAACTGTCTTCTTCTTGTCGACATTGTCCACGAATTACAAACTTTGTATGCCCGCCCCACGGAGGATCAAAGCGGGCGATCCCGAGCAGGCAAGATGGGCCCATGGGCTTGTGGGCCACTTGGCCCGAGTGCAGAACTTCGCCTTATATTTTATTCATATATTGAATTCTATACTTATTTTGTTTTGTTATCTCACCTCGAGGTGGCCTCCTTATCCTTGTAACTAACTTCACCTCTCATGTCCAGAATGGTTTCGCTCTGTCTAGCCGGCTGCCCTTCTGACAAAAATGTGGCTTTGATTGTTTTCCATCTTCCTCCCTTAGCTAATGGTTTTTTGATCAGGGGCAGTAGGGTGCTTCTTCTCCTCAGCGCCTTCGATGTTTCTTTATTAGGCGCCGCTTCAGCACGATCGAGCAGATATTTGAACAATGGTATCTCGTTGAACTTCTCCACTCGTAACCTCAGCTTTGTGAGGACAACTCGATGCAGTAGCGCCAGTGTTTCTGGGCTGCGCCGCGCTACAAGCCGCTGAAAGCTTGCTTTGTCCAACTCATACACCTCTAACGCCTCAACACACTCTACGCTCGCACAGTACTCTGGGATATCAAGAACCAACTCCACGTCACCAATGATGTCATTGGGCCCAATGAAGGAGGCTTGTATTTCACGGCGCCGTAACCTGTCTTCCAAGGCAGTAAATCCGTACTCCAATCTTCTTCGTCGTTTTTCAATAACAGTCAAAGGCCTAACCAGATCTTCTAGTGCGTTTAGTTCAGTCTTCCCTTCTTCTCCTTCTTCTTCTATTTCTCCGTGGTTTCGTTCTTTTTTCTTCTTCCTCTTTTTAGGTGCAAAAGCTTCGAACTGTTCTTTGCACTTTCTGGGGTCAGATAATACCTTAGCTGCACCTTTAGCGATGAAATAAACCGCATTACACGGCGAGCCCTGCTTCACTACTCGATTTCCAAACTGGATTTTGTGCATTTTAAGGTTTTCAATCAAGAGAGCTTTTAGTGCTGTTGGCCATGAAGCAAACAGTGGGCAAGCCAAAGCAAAGGCAGACTTCTCTTTCCATTCAATGTTATACGCATAAAAAGCCCTCTTGAACAATTCCTCATCGATAACAATCAATTCCGTCATCTCATCGGCGATCACGGTGGCATTTCGTTCCTTCTTGTCGCTCATTAGAACCATCTCACCAAAACTCTTTCCACTTTTCAGATTTCCTAGCTCATTTCCAAAGTACGCCACTCTTTCCTGGGCGCCGCGGACTGCACCCATGTCATGATGATGGTGGTAATCGGTGTGATGATCATCTTCCTTTCTGGCGTAAATTGACACTACACCCTTAAGAATGACGTAGAAACTGCCAGAGAGTAATCGCATATTCAGATCATATTTTATTTCGAAGCAATAAATGCAAGTTCATAAACTATTCAACTGATGGATAGCGCGGAGCAGATAATAGAAGTAAATCAATGAACATACCCCTTATTTGATGGTTTAAAAAATTTTAAGCAGATATTTTCCGTTACGTTGTATTTTCCAAGGGGCAAGAAAAAACACGAGCAATGAGCCGGAAGAGCCCTGAGAACGACCCTGAAGAGTACTCACCAGTTTCCCTTCTCCCCCTGTCGTACGATGACATGATCTTTCTTTACTTTGATCAACTGCACATGTTTTATTAAGTTGACTAAAGTCTCTGTTAAAAAGGAACAAATAGTCTTAACCCCAACTCAAAATCGGAGTGTCTAGAGTACATTCTTCAAACAGATAACCATATAAATGTATACTTCTTACTAACCGAGTTAAATGTCCGTACTGTAAGTTACGGATCCAGTTTCTTACTCTCGTATTTATGCATATTAGCCGTCAAGGAGGTTCCGTAATTTACAGTACATACCCAGAAAACGGTATAAGATATAAGATATAAGGAAAATGTTTATCTTGATAACCCATGGGAGTTAAAGAAATTTTGTCTGTTCCAAATCACAAAGAAAACGGGTTCATTTCCAGCTGAAAAAACTAAATCAGATCTATATAAAAAGAGTCTGTTGAGAGTGTGAGCACAGCCATACATTTACCATCTTCCAGGTTTTTAAACAAACTACTCCTGTGTCGAATCCATGGAAGAATACGCTGTATGTCGTCGATGCTTCTCTCTTCTGGTCTTCTACAGAGTAACTCCTCGGACAACTGCAATGTGGCTTGTAACAGAGGGTCGTTCGACATGACGAGAGTACTACAAAAAAAGGATTTCTGACTCGACCAGCGTTAGGCCTTTTACGTCATAAAGATACCAGTCGAATTGCGCGCGCAACATGCATACCTTCCATACAGTTTTGCGGGTGAAAATTAGCCTTGGTACGCCCGCTGGAATAGTCGCTATTTCTGTTTACATTTCAAAGTGGATGAAAACAAAGTATTATCATTCGACTCACCGTGTAATTACTTCACATGTGGATCGGGACCTTCTGACTGCTTACCGCTGGTCTTTCTCGGGACGTGAGGTTGATTGGTTGCTTTTCAACGACTGTGATGCAGATTTCGCTGAAGCCTTCCCTCTGCATATTCACAAAGCGTTACTCTCGGAGAAAGATGAGGGAGGGGAGGGCGAAGTGCGATCGTTTTGATGCAGACCTCAAGGATTGCCTTTCTAAATTAGTTCCCTCACCCTCCCCTATAAAAGCCACTCATGAAGGCTATTAAGGTACAAGGAAGGTATAGCTATAAGTTTTAGCCCTAGTACTAAACTTTATGACCAACCTAGGCCGAATTAATTGAAGACATTAGATTTTTCCACCATAAAATGAATCAGAAAATAAAATATGACTGAAAATATAAAATTCAAGGAAAGTAAGTTTCTTTCCTTGTTTTCCTTGCTTTGCCACAGATAATTGATAATACTTACCCAGTCTTTCCTCATCAAATAAAAGACATTAACTCCGCTTTTTTCCCCAGTACGTCAAAGTGAGTTGAGTTCGACCTCTGATATGGATTGCGTAAAGTTTCGGAAATTGCGCAAGTAAGTGGCGTGTCTCAGTGTCGCTTCAAGTTCATGTCAGACATGTCGAGTACCTACTGTTTTGGGATTCCCAAAAGCCAGATATACCCTGATTAGCTGCCTGCTCTTGACCCAGAAAACGAAATAAAATCGCGTGCATTTTTATCATTTCATTTCGTTCAAGTCGAGTTTTTGGCAGCTAAAGTATTACAAGTGCAGGCCTTGGCGAGTGTAATTTAATTAACACGTGTTTAGGTGAAAAGTTCGATACTGTAAATATTCTCAGCATACTTTAAGGAGGTTGTTTCACTAAGTATCATTATTCTAAGCCAATTATTTTTTTTGGAGTCAGAAAGTGCCAGAAAGTGATCACAGTTTAATCCTGTGTTTTTTCATATCCACATATTTACTGATTTTTTTTTCGAGAAGCGTTTGAGGGCTTTAAACCAGCGAACGGCAAATAGCACGAATTTGTTGTACGCTTTATTCGCAGTTTTCACAGCATTCATTTCAATGGCAAATGGAAAACGACAAAAAATATATCTGATCAATTCAATATCTTATACAATAAATCACATAATTAAAGATATATTTTTTTTTGCATTAAACGCAACAACCATTAGTCCTTAAACCCTGGTTTAAAAAAAGGTTAGCGATTAACATCAAAAAATAACCATACCATGGTGGGTCATAACACACTACATCGGTGGTGGAGCCAGGTTGCCAAATTGAAGTTACAGTGTTTTTATTTAAAAAATTTCTCACGTTATTTTAGGAAGACTTTGCACTTACTATGACAGCTTCTTGCCTTAAACTCATGCACTTTTCATGACACTTCTTCCGGTCTACAGCGTCTGGTAATAAATTACACACACGCACTGCTATTCATTAAAAATAACAAATCCTAAAGTATTCACTCCGCTCGGGTTACAGACTGAATAGATTATTTATAGCAAGCCTCACGCGGGTGAAGAGAGAATAT